GGCAACTTAGGCTCTGCTGAGTTAAAGGCGGGGGTCAGCATGAATGTGATGTGAGCACAATGACACGACCATCCTGGCTGGCGCTCTGGGTGTGTTACACTGCGGTTTTGTCTAGCACAAACAAATGGAGGCAGTGTGGTTCAAAGATGCCCTCGACCTCCAGGCATTGTCAAGTTGCCTCTTTCCTGTTCCACAAAGGCTGTCCACTAAGGTGCTTTTGGGGTGTTCTCCACCATAACCTGAGGTTGGGGTGCAGAAACCTTCAGGGATAGTTGTGTCAGAAGCCAGAGAGAAGGGTACCTTCTGTAGCTCTACCTAGAGGCCAAAAAAGAAAAAAAAAAGACAAAATGGTCTTCACTGAACATGGTCAGAGTCTCCCAGACCTTAGAGCACCCACATGGACTCACCCCAGCTCCCAGCATTGCACGTTCAGGTTCTTTGACCCTAATCTTTCATCCTCTGAAGAATATACAATCCGCTTTGGGACCACAAAAGGAGGTTTAGGTGGGGGCTTAGGGACTTCTAATCCCAGACTGTGTCCTTGGGAGACTTAGGATCATTCACAGAGCCCAAACGTGTCTTTACAGGAGGGATTTTTGTGGGGAGGGGGACATGGTAGAAGGATAATCTATAAGAGAGACTGGAGGGATGCAGGGGGACAGCCATAAACAAGATGTCGAGGGAAGAGGACTTTTATCTGTTCAAGAACACCTCCTCGGTGGGGCCATGGGATGGGCCTCAGTACCACATTGCCCCTGCCTGGGCCTTCCACCTCCAAGCAGCCTTCATGGGCTTTGTCTTCTTTGTAGGGACACCACTCAATGCCGTAGTGCTGGTGGCCACGCTGCAATACAAAAAGTTGCGGCAGCCACTCAACTATGTTCTGGTCAACGTGTCCCTGGGGGGCTTCCTCTTCTGCATATTCTCTGTCTTCACTGTCTTCATTGCCAGCTGTCATGGATACTTCCTCTTTGGCCGCCATGTCTGTGCTCTAGAGGCCTTCCTGGGCTCCGTGGCAGGTATTTCAAGGGAAGGGAACTATGGGGAGGTAAGGGACACTACTCCAGGACTGGAGCAAGGGGCGACTTTGGGGGTGAAGGGGTCCCTTAAACCCATACAAGAAGTTTGGCCCAAATAATGTTTGAGTGTTAACTCTAAACATGGATCCACCCTTCTGTCTCTCTGGGTGTGCTCCACTTCATCTGTACTCTACTCTGCTGGGTGAAGCTCTGTCCAACCCATTCTTCTCATACTTTGGCACAGGTCTGGTGACAGGCTGGTCACTGGCCTTTCTGGCCTTTGAGCGCTACCTTGTCATCTGTAAGCCCTTTGGCAACTTCCGCTTCAGCTCCAAACATGCACTGGTGGTGGTCGTGGCTACCTGGGTCATCGGTATTGGCGTCTCCATCCCACCCTTCTTCGGCTGGAGCCGGTAAGAGCGCAAAGGAGAAGCGCTGACTTGACTGGAGCTCAGGTTGATGTGGGTGGAAAGGGGCTGAGGACAGCCTTTTAGTCTTGGTAGGGTAGGCCCCAGGAAAGGGCTGATGAGCATCAACATTTACTCTGCAGTTGGAATTACTGTAGCTGCTGCTGGGAAGAACAAAAAAATCTTCCTGCCTGAAGCCTTGTGGCATTCTCTGGGTTATCGTGGAGAATACAATCCAGGAGTCTCAGCTCGCACTCCATGACTTCCTCTGAAGAGCTGAGCTGAGCAAGTGCTTGGTCCTTTGCAGGTTCATCCCCGAGGGCCTGCAGTGCTCCTGCGGCCCCGACTGGTACACCGTGGGCACCAAGTACCGCAGCGAGTACTACACCTGGTTCCTCTTCATCTTTTGCTTCATTGTGCCTCTCTCCCTCATCTGCTTCTCCTACTCTCAGCTGTTGAGGACCCTCAGGGCTGTGAGTGGCTTTTGAGAGGGGCGGGGCAGGGGGCACCAGCAGAGAGGGAAGAATGAGTGGATGCTCTTAAATGTCCACGGCCAGTCAGAGGTGTATCTAATAAAGGTGTGGGGGTAGGAGGAAAGATAAAATGAAATAAAGTGAAATCATCCCTGCTCAAAAAGGTATCAAAAGATGTATGTGGTGTGATCAAAATATACAGTGCATGTTTAAACTAAAAAATTACTATCGTAAAAGCTACATGGTCATGAATCACCCTCAAAATAATTCTGTGCTTTGAACACTTACTGCCCATGCCACTTTCTGAAGCAGTTCTGGAAGTCCTCTTCTGTCTTTATGAGGTGTGATCAAAAATACAGTGAATGCTGCCACAAAGAGCCATCCAATGGAAAGCTAGGCTCGTGGTGTGTCCTCACCCACCTTATTCACTGGACCTGGTGCTTTGTGACCTCTGCCTCTTTCCCAAAGTAAAAAGTGACCATGAAGGTAAACGTTTTGAACAGATTCAGGATATCAAGGCACCCAGAACAGTGCAACCAAAGACATGAAAGACTTCTAGAATTGTTTCAGAAAATGGCAAGAATGACGGGTAAGTGTTTAAAATGAAGGGGATACTTTGAGGTTTAGTGGCAACGTCTTTTACTGTAACAGTAGCCACATACCGTCTGTTTTGATCGTGCCTCATATGGATGTGGACCCTTCCAATGTGGCAAACGGGACAGCCCCCTCCGTTTGCCTTCCTCAAGGGAACAGAGCCAAATAAATTGGGTCAGAAGGGAGGCAATCAGAGTGGGTGTTCCCAGTAGAAAAGGGTCCTGCAATCTGGGAGTTTAGGGTCAGGGATGTGATACTCTCCGGCTTCTGCCCCAGGTGGCAGCTCAGCAGCAGGAGTCAGCTACAACCCAGAAGGCTGAGCGGGAGGTGAGCCGCATGGTGGTGGTGATGGTGGGATCCTTCTGCGTCTGCTATGTGCCCTACGCTGCCCTGGCCATGTACATAGTCAACAATCGTAACCACGGGCTGGACTTACGCCTTGTCACCATTCCTGCTTTCTTTTCCAAGAGTTCCTGTGTATACAATCCCATCATCTACTGCTTCATGAACAAGCAGGTAATGCTATTTCCCTGTCAACAACTTTTAGCCCAGAGCACTCTGGACTCTAGAGGGTTTCTAGAGGCAGATAAGGGAAGCCACAGAAATGCCAAGCAACCACCAAGTAGACCAAGAAGTCCTTGGTAAACCCAGGGAGGATAGAACTTGAGCCAGAAAAAATCACTGTTCCAGAGTAGAGTAAGAAATGGTTTTGTTGAAAAGCTGCTAGATCAATAGTTCTACATTTTGAACATTTCATGTTATTAACCCTTTCCCCTCCAAATTCTAGTCTACAGGAGCAAGCAGCTTTAGACTAGAATTTTGCTAGTTTTCAAGATGAGGAAGACATGTTGAAACCATGAGTAGATCCTGGGAGCTTTGGGGATAGAATGAAAACTCCTCCCCCACCCTTCTTGATGTTACTGTCCCTGTACCCATCTACCAAAGGGGACCATCTCCAGCCCTACCTTTCCTTCCAGTTCCGAGCTTGTATCATGGAATTGGTGTGTAGGAAGCCCATGGCAGATGAATCTGATATGTCCAGCTCCCAGAAAACTGAAGTTTCTGCTGTCTCTTCTAGCAAAGTTGGCCCCAACTAAGGACCCCACATTGGACTGTTTGCAGCAAAGAACTTCCTATGTATGTAAGATTCTACTTTCTTCATCAAAAACACCACAGAAAAAAAGGTGGGATAAATAGTTGCAGTTTGGGGATCCATTTTTCATTTTCCTGCTATTCCCTCCATCCCACAGAGCTGCTGTCCTTGGCTCGGTCTGTACTTCCGACCACCCAACGGCCAGTCCCAAAACTACCAGTTTCTACACTTAAGTGGCACTGACTTAGAGAACTGTGTACAAGTGTTGGCTTTTCAGTGTGGATAACTTCTTTTCCTTTTCAATAACTCTTTTTCTTTCTTTCTGGGGCTCTGTTCTGAGACGCTATATTCCCATTACAATGAATTTAAGAAAATACCTTAGATATGTGTGTTGCTGGAGATTGAACCCAAAGCCTCAGGTAATGCTAAGGAAACCACATTACCACTGAGCTATATCAGTCCTAAGAAAACATCCGTTGTAATGGGAGAGACATAAAGAAAAAAAGAAACAAACCAAAAACAACCCTTGATAGGCCCCGAAAGAGTCTGAAAAACTTCCTTATGTTGACTGCCAAGAGTTGTTACAACTTTGGCTTCGGTAAGGGCGGCCATATCCATAAGCTCCTGGGCCGTGGTGAACTATTCTCGGTGCTTCTCTCCCCTGCTTTTTGGCTAAACCAGCATATGTCTTAGGCTGTACATTTACTGAAGTTAATAGCTTAATTCTCTTGCGTCTTCAAAATTAAGCTGCATTATGTTATCATTTGTAAGGTACACCAAAGTAATTTTCTTTTGTATTTTGAGACAGAGTTTTACTATGAAGTTCAGGTTGTCCTTGAACTCATTAGGTACCTACCCCACTCTGGCCTCAAACTCAAGGTGACGCCTCCCAAGTGCTGGGGTTATAGGCATGCTCCACCATGCCCAGCTTTCAAAGTGACTTTTTGAAAAAGCTTTACTTTATAGTCTGTATCCTCCTTTAACCCTTTTCCCAGCAAGAGCCCTTCTGAGGTAAAAATCAAGATAAAAATGCATGTATCTATTGCACAAAGAATGGCGCGTCGGGATTGCGTAGTTATGCAACAAGCAGCTGGGCTTCTCTCCAGTGACTGGCCCCAGGAAGCAGAGAAGGGCTACAGCTGAGGAGCGGAGGCGGAAAGCTCCAGAAACAGCTGGAAGGGAGTGGCCAATTCGGGAGAAGGCAGCTTTCTCCGTGTTTGGGAGGTGGTTTGGTGAGCCTTCTAGAATTTCCTTTCTGTGACATTTCTATAGCACAAATAATTCTAAGCTAAAGTTCCATTTCTTTTCATTTTTGTGATGCTGGACATTGAACTGAGGCCTCACACAGGCCAGGCAAGTGCTTTCCCACAGAGCTATCACCAGCCGCTAGTTCTAAGAGAATGAACGACACATATCCCACGACAAATGTAAATAATTTTATTTAGAAACAGATAGGTACCTGTTTTCATTATAGAATATAAAACTTGGTTTACACTCTATAAAAAATAACCAATATCCAAATTCAAGAGAGCTAGCACTCACAGAACACACTATGGGTGTGCAGCTATAGTTTACCCACCTCAGGCTTGATTTATACCAAAAACAACAAAAAACACCCAAAACCCCAAGGGGTTCACAGAGACTATAATGCTTGCTGCTAAGTCCTCCACATCCAAAAGCTGCCATCCTAGCAGACTATGGTTTACTAAATTGTGATTTTCACACCAAGCCTGGGCTCTTTGCACCTAGTGAGCTGCAAGGTTGTCTTGCCACACAGTCGTTCATGATGTGCCCTCTCTAAGCCATGGTTGGTGGCAATGTTAATTATCTCTGGTCTTCTCAACAAAAAAAAAAAAAAAAAAAGGGAGATCTGTGAGGGTGGAGCAAGTCCATGACCCTTTGCTGGAGTTAAACCTGAAGACTGCATCCACTATCAAGAGCTCAATGCAAAGGCTGGGTGAAGTGACACGACACTGGCTCTTCACCACACCGAGCAGCCTACCTCAACAGGACTGGAAGACCAGATGATACACCTAGGTTCAGAACTAATCATCACCCAGCACCACCTGAATGTATTATCCACGATATAGGAAATAATAAAGGTTATATACACATATTTATCTTAGTAACCTGAGGGCTAAAGACTTGGAATACAATAATTCTTCTCAAAAGAGGCCCACTGGTAAGAAAGGGACCAGAATGGACAAAGTTCATGTTACATAAAATGTGGGTAAAAGGGAGTTTAGAAACAGGGCGGTTTCTTCAGCTCCTTCTATGAGATCCTACTCTTTGCTAGGGACTGGCCAGCTGCTGATCCATGATAAACTTTTCTTTTTCTTTTGCAGGTGGGGGTGGGTGGAGGAACAGGTGTGATGGTCAAAGGCAGGAAAGGCGAACAATGGTCCTCAAACCAAAGAGCCCTCTCTTTGTAGGTCCTTCCACCTTTGCGTCTGAGCTCACACTGCACTCTGGCGGACGCAGGGGCCTGCTAGTGAGTGGTTTGCATTCTGAGGTATGAGGATCCCTGGTGAAGTCAGCAGCATGTGGTTTTTGGAAACCAGCCTGCAAGATAAGAACACTGCAACCAAGTTTGTAACTAATACTGCCTATTTAACTACTGTCCAAAGAGAAAAGGAAGGAAAAAAATCTCCACTATATTGAGATGTTCGAAGCTTTCATATAAAATTGTCCAAATACTCTATTTTATCTTAGGTTTCTCGCACAAATTCTCATTCAATGATTATTTCTCTCATTAAAGGCACTTTCAATGACATGATTGGAAAGGGGTGATTTTTTAACTGCAGTGAAACCAAGATTAATTCCTGGGGAAGAGGAGCTGGATGTGGCACTTACAGTGATTTCAACAGGCAAATAATTATGTTTGGAGCATTTTGACACATACACACCCAGAAAAAAAATATTTATGCTCTTACCACATTTGTATTTTTCATTTAGTTTTCCAGCCGTTCCTAGCTGGAAACAGCTCTATTAAGAGCTAGAAATAGCTGTGTAAAGAGATCACACTCACTACTGATTGACTTTCAAGTCACTGGCCCTAACTCTTCCCACCACAGCTGTGTTTTACAAAATTAGCAAATAGCTAGTCCTATCGGGGAAAAGAATGAAGTCAAGTTGGTCCAAGCTTTCTTATAGCACACGGATCTTTCTGCCCTGCCCAGCTAACAGCAGGATCAGTTGTGGGACCCACAGCAACTGAATGAAGTATGTTGCCACTACTACTTTTGAAATGCTGGACTTTTCAACAGGCAAGATTAAGTATTAATATCTCTAAACATAAATTGTGGAGTATATGTTTTTCCTTTTTTCTCTCCTGAACATATTCCTACTGATCTCAGGCTTAAAAAATTAGTTAAGTGAGCATTATAAAAATTACATGATAAGGAATTGAGAGAGTAAAGGTTAATGTTTGCCTACATGTTTGGGTTGAGGATCTTGATCTTTCATATCATACTCCCAACTAGAGAACAAATACAAAAATAAGCACACCATGTTATACATTATACAAAGTGTAGATCTACAAACACAAGTGTACTAAGTAGAGTTGTTCCTCAGAAGCACATTTTCCCTCCAGTCCCGAGGAGGAGGAGGAATAGGGACGGGATGGTTTTCATTATTCCATTATGCCTTTTCACGTCTTAAAAGTTTGTAATAACAGTCTCAGTAGCGCAAACAATTTCATATGAAACCAGAAGCTGTAAAAATAAATTACTTTTGAAGAGACGTGGGTTCCTGTCTGCAGCTCAGAACTCATCATGTCGTACTAAGGCCTCCCCAAAATCTGTGGCCTGGCTGCCCACAAATAAATCGTACTTGTCGACAATCTCCTCCTTCGTAAGCTTGCCATCCTGAAGTTAGAGAGAGCAGTGAATTGAGGCAGCATATATTTCCCATTCCAAATTCAGAAACACTGCTAGAAAATAATACCACCTAATTAGGATTTAAGATTTGAATTCCCACTAAATATGAACTCAGCCCTCATCTCCTCTCCCCTGCTACACGCGCGCGCGCGCGCGCGCGCGCGCGCGCACACACACACACACACCCTCGCTCACACAAAAGGAAAGAAAATAATGTCTTTCTTATCAAGAAAGTTAAAAGTGGAGGATGGGGGGTAAACAAAGTGAAAGTGAGAGGATGGACATGACATAACTCCTGGAGAGAGATACAGGTTTGCTTCCTGAGGATCAAACTCTCCCTTTAGAGCAAAACATGGCTAAGAGAAGGTCAAAACAAAGACTTCAAAGTTACTGTCTAACAGGAACAATGAAACCTGTCAGTATCCAGCCTAGCCTGCACCTCCCCTCTGGCCCAGCCACCAACCCAAAAAAAGGCCCACACACTCATTTCAAACAGAACCAAGAGACAAGGGACAACTGTTCACATTTCCTTTCCTCACACAGCTCAGAACATAGCCATCTGGCTACAGAAGTGAGTGAGCATGAAGTCCAAACAGATCAACCTTTAAAAAGGTTCTAAGCCAGTGATGGCAAACCTTTCCAAGCCTTTTTTTTTTTTTTTTGGAGACAGGGTTTCACTATGCAGTTCAGGCTGACCTTGTGCTCACTATATAGCCCAAGCTGGCCTCAAACTCAAAGTGATCCCTCTGCCTCAGCCTTTGGAGTGCTGGGATTACAGGTGTGCACGCCCAGTAGTGGCTAGAGCTTTCAGTGATAACAAACAGCTGGCTGTGGCATGCTTGCTGTAGGTTTGCCACCAATGCTTTAAGGTAAGAAACTGCAGATTAGCTTAGACTGATTTTCAGTTTATTCCAGGCATCACTGGAGTTCGAGGGCAACCTAGGCTACATAGGAAGTTTAAGGCTAGCCTGGACTACATAGTGAGACCCTATCTCAACAAACCAAAACCCTAAAAAACCAAACCAAACAAAACCTTTTAAGAAAAGATGAACTAAATGTCTAAGATAACTGATCAAGAACCATTTTAAAAGGCTGTGGAGAAAAGCTGGTTTAAAACTTGCTGTAGAGGATCTGATTTTTAAGAAAGACAATAAGCAGCTTTGAGAAGACAGAATGAATTTGTAAGAGGTAAAATAACAAAGAAAAAAAAGCAAGAAAATGTCCTGGGGATCAAAATGACAGAGGACACACGCTGATACTGTCCACAGAGAAGCTCTTTTCTGAAGCCCAGGTTCCTCCAACACAAACAGCACTGGGCAAAAGGATTTCTAAAATGAGATCAGATAGCTAGTGCTGCCTGGAAAGTTTTCAATCACCCAATTTAGATCCTTAGCAGACCTGGGCTAATTAAGACCTTAAATGCTCTATGTACCCTGGTAAAACTTTTTTAGGCGATTCCCTAGAAACAGACTTTGATCATTGCCAAACTGCTTGTGCCTGGAGCGACTAACCTTATTTTGGTCTGACTCATAGACCAGGTGCCTGGCTTCTGCCTCTGCATGGTCATAGTCTGAGGGGAGGATCCAGTCTTTGGTCTCTTCCTTGTCCATCTTTCCATCACGGTTCTTATCTCGAAACTCAACAAACTGTTCTCGCTCTGTCTTCACCCATTCTGGCTCATCAGCGTTTCCATCGTGGCTGTACATGTCACCTGTGTGCACAGAAGTACACAAAAGAGGTCTTTCTTTTAATCCAGCTTGTTTTCCTCAGTCACTTGTTTGGAACCATGAATACATAGTTATAACTACAGTTACACAGGCATCTTAGGAAGGAGAGAGCTTAGAAAGCAAGGTATTTTTCTTGGGTTTAATTACGGATCTTGCAACAAGAATCTGTTGATTGCTGTAGCTATTGATTGGGAGTGACATAAAAGCAAAAGAGTCCTGGTATCTTAAAAAATGGAGACATTAGAAAAGTTGACTGTCACCCAGAAGAATGAAGACTACTTGTTCCTTACATTTCATTTCATCTCAGATAGCTAATTAAACAGGACCACTGGGTCCAGAAGGTGGAATTTTAAATTCAAGGAAACTTGACGTGTATGTTATAAGCCCACACTGTCTACCAACCAATTCCAACCCAAAATGCATTTCACCAGTGGTCTTCAGAGGACAAGCATACCCATGGGCGAAGCGGAACACTGTCATGGAATACAATGGCAGGGGACAGTCACAAAAGAACCGAAGTCCAGATCTTCAACTTCCCCTACAGATTTCCTTAAAAACGCTATCTGTATAAGAACACAGCTCTGGTGCCTTCAAGTCTTCTTTGCTGCGTCCTCTTTCCCAGTCACCCTTTCCTCATTGTGTAGAAGGAGGCACATTATCAAACACTCAGTTGTCATGAAACTTACTAGGGCACAAAAGCTTCCTGGGTGATGAAAAGAGAGACAGTCAGACGTATTACTGCTAGCCTTGAGAAAGTAGATGTCTGAAAAAATGGAAATCTAGGTTTTTAATTTGTTGGTTTTTAAAATAAAACTGTGTCTGGGTTTTAGCTATGAGAGCATTTTAAAACAATTTCTGATGAAATATGATTTTTTCATATATAACTCAAAGAGTTTTCAAGAACTGACAATGCTATGACAACTCTTTCATTCCCATCAACCTACTTACGTAAACAAGGGCTCTTAGCACGTTCTCTAAATAAACTGACCTAGGAGTTGGTGCTGAAATTTGTTTCAAAGCAGCCACAACTGTCATCCACGAATAGAAAACTACTTGAAAAAAATGTAGGATATATTTTTTATTAAAATGGACATAGTATGCTGTAAATGTTAATTTGTTCAACTATTTAATAGTTTTAACAGTAACAACTTGGAAGACAAAGTGTAAGAGTCATAACTGAAAAGAATTATTTTCATGTTTCAATCTACGTATATAATATACTTACAAATAACTATGCCAAGGTGATTTAAAGCTTTCAAAATAAAACATATTAAAGTTGGACATGGTGGCACACACCTGTCATTTTAACAATTTGGGAGGCTGAGGCAAGATGGTAAGTTCTAGCCCAGCCTGGGTAACTTGAGGATGTAGCTCAATAAAAGGGTTTTATCTCCAGCAGTACTAGGAGGTGGGGGAAGTTAAACTGAAAAATGGATGAAGAAGAAACAATAGCATAAAATTTACAAGTAATACAGAATAGCTTAGTCCTTTATCTTTTCAAGGCAATACTATTTCTGGTCCATTTTGTGACTGGATGTGGAATAAACACATCCCCAAATTTCCTCTAAAATTTAACAAAAACTAATGTAATCAACCAATAGGTACACTGATCTCATTAAATCAAACCTGTCATTAAAAATATGTATGTAGTACAAGGAACGATTTCTATTTTAAACTGTTAAATGTAAACACAGCAGCTAACATTAAGTGCTTTCAGTATTCTAGGCCCCCATAAGAATTTTACTTATATTATCACCACTTTTGTTTTTGTTATGAAAACTGTCAAACATACAAAAGTTGAAAATAGTCCACAGAACTCCTTAACCATCATCAAACTTAACTACTATCAAGCTTTTGCCACACATGCTCCATCTATCCCCTTTTTCTTTTTCCCCCTGAACTACTGTAGGGTAAATCCCAAGTATCATTTACCTCTATGTATCTTAGAATGTATCTCTCAAAATTATGGGTGTTTTCTTTCTTTTTTTTGAGACAGAGTCTCACTATCTAGCTCAGGCTGGCTTTGAGCTCACTATGCAGCCCAGGCTGGCCTCAAAATACTTTCTTATACAGTATAGCCATAATACTATTATTATGTTTTATAAAACAAATTCTTGGCATCATCTAATACCCAGTCTAAATTTGAACATCTTGATTTTTTTTTTAAATTTTGTTTTTGTCTTTTTGAGACAGGGTCTCACTATGCAGTTCAGGCTGGCCTTGCGCTCACTTTGTAGCCCAGGCTGATCTCGAACTTGCAACAATCCTCTGGCCTCAGCCTCCCGAGTGCTGGAATTACAGGCATGCACCACCACACCCGGCCTTATCTTTAAAGATTCTTTGTTCAAATTCACATGGTAGGCAGGAACTTGATAAGGTGTTTGTTTATTTTTAACTTATTAAATTTTATTTTTTGTCATTTATATTTTAGATTTTAGAATTAAGGTATTTTATAAATGTTGATATTTACAACCAGAGATTATTCTTTACAACTGTTTAAAGTTCAAGTAAAATATTTTAGATGCTCACTTTTTTATTTTATTTTTTTGAGATAAGGTTTCAGATGTATTTGAGGCTGTACTTGAACTCACTATGTATTCCAGGATGGCCTTGAACTCAAGGTGATCCTCCTGCCTTAGCCTCCCGAGTGCTGGGATTATAGGTATATGCCACCAATCTGCCAGGCATACAAAGAGAATGCTATTTGTCAAATTTTATTTTAGGAGTTAAGAGAACAAATCTGAAGATTCCTGGGTAATACTCCATCTAAATATTTCTATCTGTGTCTCATGTAAGGCATGGGTATACACCTACCAGAAGCCTAGTTTCTAGCAGCTCTAAACAAAGGGAATCATTTAGTCAGTACTATCTTCTTTCTGAAACTTGAGGATGAAGGACAAAATTACTCCTCCCGTCTCAATGTCAAAGAAATTCCTCAGGAATTCAACTCCCTATCCCCACATTCAGAAAATGGTCACTGGGTCAGGGGGCTGTCCTGGCTCCTGAGGGTTAAGACTTAGCGGCACAAGGCCTGCCTGGCAAGCGCAAGGTCGTGAGTTCGATTCCTGGTACTGGAAGAAAACCAAAACCCCTCCCCTGCCAAGAAAAGACTTGTTCACAGTATACATACTGGAAGTTCTGAATGAGAGGAATGGATGTATGCTTAAAAGATATAATTTTAACAGAAGCTAGAATATACTACAAAACACTAGATGAGACTGTCTTGAAGAAAGTTTTCAGAAATATGCATACGTCTTAGAGTTGCATAACCAAATGTTTCCTTCTTTCAATTTTTTTTTTGGTAGGGAGTGGGTACTGGCAATCAAACTTAGGACCCTGCACTTGCCAGGCAGGTGCTGTGCCGCTGAGCTACATTCCTGGCCATGACCAAATGTTTACAGATGAAATGAAATGATAATCAGGATGTTCTTCAAAATAAGAAAGGAGCCGGGCGTGGTGGCACATGCCTGTAATCCCAGCACTCGGGAGGCTGAGGCAGCAGGATTGTTGCAAGTTCGAGGCGAGCCTGGGCTATGAAGTGAGCTCAAGGCCAGCCAGAACTGCATAGCGAGACCCTGTCTCAAAAAAGACTAAATAAATAAATAAATAAATAAAAGTAAAGAAATGGATGAGACTGAGAGAACGTGGTTGAGAACTGACAGTTGCTGAGGCACAGGGGCATGGGGATTCTTTACTCTTCTAATTTTGTGTCTGAAATGCTCTCTAACAATTTTAAAGCATAAAAAGAATTGAACAGTGTAACTCTGGGTGCTTAATAATGTTACATGTGATAGGCAAAGCACTTCATGTTCTCTCAACAGGGAAGAAACTGGCACATAAACTCTGCTCTTGAAGCTAGATGATGTGGAGGGAGACAGAAATATCTCCTTATTTGGCCTCAGTATTTGGCAAGCGACGCTGCTTAACAGTGATAAACCTTAAACTGTCTCTGGAAGATCAAGTAAGTCAGTTCTTCAGTTTTAACAATGGTGATAAAATAGCAAAATCCAAGAATAAAAATGATAAAAAATTTAAAAGTAGAAAATCCTATAAATGTCAACTTGGGTCACAAAACATACTCAGGCATTTCTCCACTGTCCTGATGAACTCCATTAAAAAATTATTTTGGGAAAAACCCTACTCTCCATTGTTCAATTTGTCTTTCCCTAATAAGTATGATTAGACAGCGTATAACGAAAGGAGTGACTTTGTTCAAAGCAGTTTATTAACCAATGACAGAGGGAGACCTTAATTCTCCTTTTCAGACTTAAGGTAAATATTTCAGGCAAAAATCAGAGGTCTAAAAACAAATGGATTATCTGAAACAGAAAACCAGTGTTCCAGTAAATAAGTTACTATGAGCAAAAATAAGAATGTAAAGTAACAAAGGAACGGACTAGAGAACCTAGAAATACATCTACACATGCACAACCAAGTGATATTCCACAACAGGGTCAAAAAAATATACTGGAGAAAGGGCAGCCTGTTAAATAAGTGGTGCTAGGGAATTCAGATATTTGTATGTAGAACACTGAAACTTGGGCTTTATCTCTAAACACAAAAAAATCAAATCGAAATGAATAATGATTTAAATGTACAACCTGAAGCTATAAAACTATTAGGAAAAGTGGAGTTTTATCAAACTAGGAAGTTTCTGCAAAGAAAAGGAAACAGCAGGAGAGCCAAGGCACAACCAGAAGAACAGGAGAAAATATCTGCAAACGATTCATCTGACAAGGGATGAATACAATATATAAGGGACTCAAACAAGAGCAACAAACAACATGAAAATAAAATACCAAAACAAAAAATAATCCAGTAAAAAGATGGGGAAATGATCTGAATGGACATTTCCCAAAAGATCTACAAATGGTCAACAGTATATGCCCAAGTGTTCAGCGTCGCTAATCATCAGGGAAATGCAACAAACAACACAAGGAGTGTCGTCTTATCCTACTGAGAAGGGCTACATCAGAAAGATGGAAGTGACAAATGCTGGTGAGGTTGTGAAGAAAGGGAAACTCTCACATACTACTGATGGAAACGTAAATTAGTGGTCATTATAGAAAACAATACAGAAGACCTCAAAAACTAAATAAAGTTACCATATGATTAAACTAGTCAACTACTGGATACATATCTAAAGGAAATGAAATCAGTGTATCGAAGGGACACCTTATTGTAGCATTATTCATAATAGCAAGCATAGGAACTAGCTGAGATGTCCATTGATGGATATATAAAGAAAATACAGTATAAACCAGGTGTGGTGGCACATACCTGTAATCCCAGCACTTGGGAAGCTGAGGCAGGAGGCACTGAGTCTGAGGCCAGCCTGGGCTACACAGTGCATTCAAGGCCAGTCTGAACTACATACCAAGACCCTACCTCACTATCCCCCTAAAAGGGTATTTATACAAGTGGAGTGCTATTCAACCATAAAAATAATAAAGTCCTGTCATATGTGGCAACATAGGTAGAGCTGGAGGACATACACTTTACATAAAATAAGCCAGGCACAAAAAAAACTATTGCCTGTCCTCATTCACTAAGTGGAGGTTTAAAAAGTTGATTTCATAGAAGAGAGAATGATCCTGAGAAGCCAGGAAGGTGTGCCAGTTAATCTTAATCGTCCACCTGAGTCCCTAGCTCACTGCAACTGTTTACCATCAATTCCACAGGGCATATGTGATGCAAGGTATCTATGCTACACAATATAGTAACCGCTGGCCAGCCACAGGTAGCTAACTGCTACTGAACCCTTGATATGTGGCTGATCCAAACTGGGATGTGCTAGATATACACAGTTTAAAAAAAAACCTCAGTGATCTACACTAATAGTAAGTGAAAATTAGAGTACTTCTGAATAGCAGATTGACTAAAAGTGCATGCTTCTTTTTTTCCCCAGACAAGGTCTTGCTATGTAGCTCAGTTTAGGCTGGCCTTGAATTCGCAGTCCAGGCCAGCCTCGAGTAGCGGTTCTCTTGCCTCAGACTTCCAAGTGCTGGGATTACAGGCGTGTGGCACTACACCCTGCCTAAAGTACATTCTTGAAATTAATTTCACTTTTTAATGAGGCTATTAGAAAAATTAAAATTATGTATGTGGTTCATATTTCTGTTTTGATTGGACAGCCCTGCTAGGGATACTTTATCACAGCCCACTATTCATCACACTGAACTAGCATAAAGACCTGGTAAAAGCTGACCACAGGGCAAATTATTTTTATGGAGGATTACATCTTCCAAAGTGTATCAGCTTCTTCTAAGAAAAATACTAGATGGCACATGCCTACAATCCCAGACATTGAGAGGCTGAGGCAGGAGGATTGCCATGATGTTAGAGGCCAGCCTGGACTACATAGTAAGACTATCTCAAAAAAAAAAAAAACAACAAACAAAAAACCCAACCAAACAAACAAAAACCCCTCAAAACAAAAAACAAACCCCACAAAAAAACCAAAGAACAAAAACCCCCAAAACAACCTAGAAAGGACTTACCAATATATTCTTCTAGATCAATGAAACCATCAGCATTTTTATCTATATCCTCCATTGTTTCCTAAACAGAAAAGAACAAGACACTTACAAACTTACTTCTTCATGAATTTGCCCATAACAAAGTATGGTGTATCTGCATAGTTAAAACCACAGGAAAGTAATGCTTTCCTAGCTAGAAAATGGCAGAATATTAGCAATTTCTGTGTTTCAACCTAAGATAACCAAGAGTCTTCTTAGAGGAGCACTGACTGCTTGATGATGCCCTGGTCAGGTGAAGTCATGGTTACAGAGAGGTGGCCAGTGATTAGACCAGTATTAGTCTACACAACTGTCTTCTTTTAATTTTTTTTATTTTTTTGGTTTTTCTCCAGTACTGGGAACCGAACTCACGACCTTGTGCTTGCCAGGCAGGCGCTTTGCCGCTGAGCTAAATACCCAGCCCATACTGTCTTCTGTGAGAATTCTGACTACTGACCACAGGGTGTTATAAAAACAAACAAACAAACAAACAAACAAGGAACTTCCTCCCTTACTACCACTGAAATGGCAAATAAATAATCTGATGGGAAGTATTATCTTGTTAAACAGAAAAACTAAGACACTTAAAAACAGTGATAGTGTTTAGATTCTGAATCTGGCCAGTATTTGTGTAGCAAATCATTCCACCAAACACACAGGAAATGCTACAGAGGAGGGACGGCATAGGCAATAGCAGGAGGAACAGTCTCCTTCAGAATCGCTGACCTCACCCACCTGCACTACTATGTCTTTCATGTAGTCGTACTCTTCAGGGTGGAGGAAAGCTGTGAACTCCTCCTTTGTGGCAATGAGGTCTCCATCCTTGTCCGCCATCTTAAACCTCCTCTCATCTCTTACCATCATCTGTTTGTAGTTAAATCCATCATCAGGGTCTGGGTCATCTAGAAAACAAAAATTTACATCAGATCTTTAGGGCTCCCAGTAAACGTGAAATACGTGGGGTGCCGAATCAATTTCCAAGAAAGATAAACCAAGCAATGCAGAAATAACTCTTGATTCAGCAGGTAAAATTAAACCAAGCAATGCAGAAATAACTTGGTTCCAAAGGCAATACTATAGAGACATTTAGTTTGGGGTTTAAGCTCCTGCAATCATACCTCAAATCAGGTTTAAACAGAGTGTAAATGTTTGCCCTCCAACATGAACTGTGGCTTCTGGATTACTCAACAGGGAATGCTGGGTTACTCATTGTTACTGGTGTTAACACTGATAGAAGGCTTACATTTCCTAGTTACATCGCTCTAAAGCCATACTGTCTGAGTTTGAACTCTACCACTCCTAACTGTATGTTCTTAGACAAGTAACTTTCATCATGTGAATCACTGTACCTCAGGTCCCTTATCTGTAAGATGAGAATAATAATGGTGCCTGCCTCATACAGTTGTTATGAGAATAAAATCTAGGCTAAGTGCTTAGGAAAATGCCTGGCATATAGTTGGCATTCAATAAATGTCAGCTATTGCTATTTTTATTAAACATTAGGCTCCATTAAGAAGCTAGATGTCAAAGGACTTCTGTCCCATTTTAGGACACTTGGATTCAAGCAACAGACCATCACTCTGAAAGGTCACACTTTTTTCCCCCCACTCAACCCAGAAATCTACCAAAAGTTACAGGCACTGTTCATTCTCCATTTATGTGAGATTCTAGAAAACGTAAACTAATTTAGAATTACATACAGAAATTAGGGTCAGTAGTTACTAGGGACAGGGGTGTAGGGAAGGTGACGGACACATGAAAAAATTTTGGAAGGTGATATCATTACCTTGACTGTAGTTAGTTTCACTAGTACATACATTATGTCAAAAACTCATTAACTGTGCATTTAAATATGCAGTTTATTGTATGTCACTTATACCTTGGTAGAGCTGTTAGGCCCCGCATTTAATTCCCCAACTGCCCCCACTATTTTTAATAGTGTAATTAAATCTTCCCACACATTAAGCACAGTTAAAAAAGTAAAATTTTAAAAATCGTTCTATTTTTAGAGCATGCAGTTTGAAACTTTTTTGTTGAGTGTCAAAAATTTAGGAAGACAGCTTACTGGATCACACATGAGGCTTTGGGACCCTGTGTATGTATACTCAAACCCATATAGGTGGGCGATGGAGAATTTAAGGAAAATACCATTTTCTCAGATAGTAAGTCACACGTTCTAAATAAATACCAAGTTACATTATCAACTATGTAACACTGAAGCCAATTTACACTTTCAGACTAGATTCTTAGCTAGAAGCCTTCCTCCCACACATAAAAGGATGGAAAAAGGAAGATGCAATGCTTTATTTTTAATGACAATTTACATGTCTATAGCTCTGCTAGGAGTGCTATACTTGCCTTACTCTATGGCCCTTGCTGGCCTGTACACAGTACCAGATGGGCTCTTAATCTAGTCTTGGTCTCTAGTTTTAAGTTTTAGTAGTCTGTATTTTACTTGTAGCAGACAGTGTTAATGTTCTTTTTGTAGATAGTGAATTCATGGAGAAAGACTTTACTAATAAGAGCTGAGATGATTTATACCTGAACTCAAAAGTGAATTGAAACACACAAAAACTCAGCACTGGTCTAAGCCAACTCCTTACCCCCAGGGTTGTCTACCCGCAGGCCTCCAGGGAAAGATGCCTTATAAAGACATCATTTCTCCAGCCAGTGTTTCAATTTGTGTACAGTTTCAGGCAGCAGAAATACCCATTACATTGAATCATCTGCCCTGTGAGGCAGTAAGAGCTTTCCACGGATTTTTATGTACATAATCATACATAGTTGAGGCAGCATTCTGGGCAGCAAGTGAGTGCCTAGGTCTGAGCTGAGATTTATTAACACACTGTTTTGTTTAGACCACTAAACAAAAAGAGAGTAGTTAGCCTACTCTCTTGCTTTACATTTATAAATTAATTCTGAATGAGTAAGAAAGGTACTGGGGGGATAAAAAAAAAAAGGAAGGTACTGGGTCTCAGCCAGCGAGCAAGAAACATAGGATGCCTCTCCATCTGTGCTGGCTTTTTAATACACGTGTTCTTAATCGGGTGAAGGATATGTTTGGTTCTTGGCTATGCATCAAGCATTGAGAGAGATTGCCACTTTAGTCTTAGGAATGAGAACAAGCCCAACATAGAAATAAAAGTCTCTTCACCAGAAACACATGCACTCCTGCAATTAGCACAGGCAGCTGGCTATCTGGTGGGAAAACAGACCATTATACTCACTGTAGTTAGTTAGTGTGGAGAACTCTTGCTTGAACCCAGAAACCTGTCTAATTTCCATGATAAAAATGCAAAAAGTATCATTTAAAATGCTTGCCTCAAATTATATCCTTGTATGACACAGAAATCTCACAAATAAAAACACGCTATTCATCAACTCTGTAAAGTGCCACTTATGGTAGTATTTAACAATGGGCACATGTAAAAGTGGCAAAGAAAATCACTCAGGTGGCCCAAATAAACAGAAAAGCTTCTAAATCAACAGAAAGCAACCAAAATAACACTGATTTGCCTTGAAGCATTTGCAAAACCAGCTAATATACTCATGTGCCAGAGAAGACAAATGGGAAATCTTCACTTCCAAACTCAACAAGCAGAGGTACTGAAATAATTCAATTTTATCAAGGAAAGGTATTTTATCTGAGTTTTATTTTAGTGACAAAGACAGTAATTTTCTTCCTACTCTTCCCAGTTATAAAAGAATCTAGTCTGGTTTGAGTTGTAGGTCCAACATTTTAATGGACCATGTCAAGAGACACCTTCAGGCCTCTTAAGTAGCACTGTTGGAATAATGGAGACATACTCCAAAAATTGTTTCTGTGAGGAAGGACAGAAAAAAGTGATAAGACATATCTCCAATGCTCAAGATGTAGAAGATGCCAGGTTTCAGCAAACCAGAATTTAAACACTTAACTTATAAATTTAAAATGCAACTATTTAGGATAGGCACAATTTCTTCTTTTCCTTTACTGCGTGACCCATTTGCTTCTTTGACCCAAGACCACAGTCTCGGCCAGGCTGACACCTCGCCCCTTACCCAGGTAAGTGCCATAAGTCACGTTTCTGTACTCATCCCAGGAGATAAAGCCGTCTTGATTCATATCAAACTCCTGCCACTGGTTTTCAACATTGTCATATATGTATTTCTTCTGGGCGTGCTTAATCCAGGATTTCAGCTCCCCCTCCGTCACAAACCCATCTTTATCCGCGTCTATTTTATCTACAATCACTCTACAAGACAAAACAGTTACGTTTCAAGGTGCCGGTCCACAAGGCTTTTTCCCCCAGATAGTAGGGACCTACCTAAAACGTAGCCGTAGGTGGCATTTTTATACTCCTCCCAGGAAACGAGGCCGTCCTCATTGAGGTCATGCCCCTTCCACTGTCGTTCTACATCCTCGTAAATCCAGCGCTTTTGTGCAAACTTAATCCAGTCTTTGAGTTCATCCACAGTGACAAACCCGTCCTTGTCGCCATCTATTTTACTTACAATTTTTCTGTAGAAAATGCAGAGAAATCCAGCAAGAGGTTAAAAGGACACAAAACTCTGGACATAGCCAGATGTGTACTGTGACCAGAGGTGCTGCCTAGAGCTAACACGAAACAAAAAATTCTCGCAAAAACAAACCGCCAGACAGGGCACAGGGCACTGCATGGCCACGTTGAAGTGTCCGTTACTGGTCTAATGAGGCCTCGGGAGAAGGCAAACAAGGTGTGTGGCTGGTACACAGGGCACCACAACAAGCCCAGCCTTCCTTGCGGTTAGGGTTAGGCCTACGGTCAGGATTCGGGAGTAGGCATCCAGGCTCACCTAGGCTCTTTCTCCATCAAACAAGCATATCTTTGTATTTCTCTTTCCGGAACTTAGGACAGGATTTTCTTGCTAAATAAGCACAACCACTAACAGTGGTTTCCTTAATATTCAAAACATTTAAATCAGACTTTAAAAATGTATCTGCTTTTAGAAAAAGGCAGTATTTTTGTTCAAAACATGTTATCAGATATGGTTCTGGGATCACTTATATTTCAAGTCATAATTATTTTGTAAAAAACAGCAGCTCTTTTATACTGGTGACTTGGACATTTACATATATGAAAAGAGAGAACTCTGAGGAAATGAGGGAAGGATGTACACGTTTTCTTTGACTGTGAGACAGTTAGTAAGCTGAGAGGGTTAGTGTGCAGAGTATAAAGCAAAACAATATACTTCGCCTTTTATGAGCTTATTTTTTCCAAATCTGTCATGTTAAGGATTTAAAAATATGTTCATGATATCAGAACTACCTTAATGATGCAATCCACTACCTATAGATGCTCAGACAAATCTATGTAACTCACACAAATAAATGCCCAGTTTGGAATTGGAACTTTAAATAAAAACTTCTTGGCATACTCTTATACTAAATTGAAAAAAAAAGACTGTCTCTTGGTAGCAAATACTGTTAATGTCTTCTCCTAGTTTGTGCTAATTTCATAAATATAAAATGGGAGCCAGGCGTGGTGAAGCATGCCTGTAATCCTAGCATCTGGGAGGCTGAAGCAGGAGGACTGCTGATAGTTTAAGGCCAGCCTGAACTACACAGTCTCTACCAACCAACCAACTAACCAACCAAACAAACCAACCATACGTATCTTACATGAGAATGTGATCAGAATCACAGAATACTAGTGACACTGTAAATACAGACTCATCTTGATATTGATATGGTATTAGCTATAACTATTATTACCTGGGCCCTATAAATAATAAGCATTTTCCTTTAGAGAATGTATAATCCTGTAGCTTTAGCTCTGAAATGCTAATAGAAAAGGTAAAATCATCGCTTAATAGCCTTCTATATCTGTATGTATACAAGGGAAAATTTTTTGTAACATTTATCTATAGAAATTAAAAAATATTAACAGATTAAATACTGCAAACATTATCTATACAGTAATGGGATCCAGTCTGTGTACAAATAGTGCCATTGTGCCGTTACACACACAAAGAAAGGGCAATGTACCAGAGCCCTTGCCATCTCCTGAAAGTATTTTTAAACTATTATAAATAGTCTGGAGAAGGATTGCCCAGATAAAAAAAGACGTATGACTGTCAAAGATGGGCTTTTCTTAATGAAGATGGCTGGAAATATTCAATGGTTTAACCTAGGCATTGGTAAACTGTTTATTGGAAAGGGAAATATACAGTAAATATTTTTACTTTGTGGGTCACGTGTTCTGTCACGCGCGTGCACACCCACACCCACACACATATCCCTCTAAAATGTAAAAGCCATTCTTGAGGCCCATCTAGCTTGCAGGCAGTTATCAAAGTATACTGGAAGTGGACATGTCCTATTTCTGGTATGAAGCTCTAAACTCCGATTTTCTTTTTTTAAACTCTGATCTTTAGGCCGGGCATGGTGGTGCATGACTGTAATCCCACCACTTGGGAGCCTGAGGCAGGAGGATCATTGTGAGTTCTGTGAGTCTGAGATCAGCCTGGGCTACAAAGTGAGCTCAAGGACGGCCTGAACTGCATAGTGAGACCCTGTCTCAAAAATATAAAAAACAAAACAACCCTGATCTTTAAGGATCTGTATAAATTTGGAAGCTAATGTAGGACCCTATGACACTGGAGAACTGTAGATATAGTTATGGTGCCACTAAGCAAACATTTAGACTAAAACAGACACAATGCACCTAGTGGAACTCAGGCCATGTCTTTCAAGAGGTAACACATGCATCTACATTTTAAGTGGCATAAAGCAAACAACTATGGGTATAATGTCAGCACTCTGGGAAGCTGAGGCAGGAAGATCGAAAGTTCAAGTGAAGCCTGGCCAACTCTACAATTCAAGAAGGCTCTAAGTTCAATTCTCAGTACCACCAAAAACAAAATTTCATCATATGTATTTTCATGGGTGCACTTCTCTGAGGAAGAATCCTTAGCTTCTTTCAAAGCGTCTGAACCTATGATTTCTTGGAAGGACAATGGAAGAACTTTTTCACATCAAAGACCACTACTTCAAAACAAAAATGTTCCTCAAAAGGGGACATATGTGAAAAGCATACATAGGCATTTTTTTTTGCCAGTAGAGTAAAAATGATAATATATACACATAGAAAACCATGTCTTCTTTGTTAACATTCTTTTTTTTGGTACTGGGAATCACACTTGGGACCTTATGCTTGCCAGCCAGGTGCAATTCTGCTGAGCTATAGTCCCAGCTCTGTTAACATCCTTTTTTTTTTTTTTTTTTTTTTAATTTTTTCCCTTCCTACTTTCTTTATTTTTGTGTGTGTGTAGTTTTTTTTTTTTTTTTTGAGACAGGGTCTTGCAATGCAGTTCAGGCTGCCCTGAGCTCACTTTGTAGCCCAGGCTGGTCTTGAACTCACAATGATCCTCCTGTCTCAGCCTCCTGAGTGCTGGGATTACAGGTGTGCGCCATCACACCCGGCCCCTGTTAACATTCTTAATAAGAAAAAAAGGTACTGAAAATGGTGTATTATAATCATTTAAAAATGCATCCTGCAGTCTTCTAGATATTGAAGATTGCAAAAACAGTAGTAAATTTTTTGCAACTATTAGTATAAATGATGACTTTCTCAATAATTACTTGCTTTACAGAAAGATTTTAAAGAAGGGATAAAAAAAAATAAAGAAGAGGTGGAGGGGGCAGATCTACTCTTTCCAATCTCTCATATGTAATTACTTACCAAAACAATGTTTAGATATGCCACAGTAGCTGGGCTTGGTGGTACACACCTGTATCTCAGCACTCCAGAGGCTGAGGCAGGAGGATTGCCATGAGTTTGAGGCCTTAGCCATGAGACTTTGTCTCAAACAAAACAAAACAAAACAAAACAAAACAAAATAAAAACCCAGAGTAAAAAAAAAAGTTGGGGCCAGGGATATAGCTCAATGGTATTAGTGCCTGCCTGGCAAGCACAAGGTCCGGAGTCAGATTCCCAGTACCAAAAAAAAAAAAAAAAAAAAAAAAAAAAAACAAACCAAACCAAACCAAACCAAAAAAAAAGGTTCATGTGGGACTCTTGCTTCCCCAGTACTCAGGACATAAACCAGGGATATCTGTCATTTGCTCCAAAATTTGGGAGAAGCAAGCAGTATTGTACTTAGTTCATTCTATTAAAAAAAAAAATTGTTGTTTCTTCTTTATCTAAATAGTCTGCTCGTGTGTTAAACTTTCAGTAATATTTACAGACGACAAGAACATTTTCTTCTTACTAAAAACTGCTAGCAGAGCTACTCCATTACCTGCAAAGAGCCAGAACAGCTTCATTGAAGTACTGTGTTCCCTAAGTGGCTCCAAACCTAAAGGGTCTTCATTACTTGAGTAACTCTGTTGGATATGGTGGTACCCGCCTGAAACCCCAGCACTTCGGAGGCTGAGGAAGGACTGGCACAAGTTCGAGGCCAGCCAGGGCTACATAGTGAGTTCAAGGGCAGCC